GGAGAGCGTGAGATGGGGAGGGAGGCCGTGGGGCCCATGCTGGGGCCCCCCACCCCGCAGGAAGCTCTGCAGAGCTACACACAGACGCCCCCGGGCGGGACACCAGTGTGTGCCCCTTTGACAGAGAAGGGCCAGATCACACACCACCGTCTCCAGCTCCAGCCCCTGCAGGCGGGCACCCCGACGTTGCCAAGGTGTGCGCGCAGGCGGCGTTTAAGACCTAGAGTTGCAGGCAGCTGTGCGAGGAACACCCTGCCCTTTAGAGCCCAAACCAGCAGGGTTCAAGCCCGCCTGTCACAGAATGAGGCATGCTGTGAATAAATGTGTTTAAGAAAAGGGGTTCCTGGATGGCTCAGTCGGATGAGCGTCTGACTCTTGAGTTTGGGTGGAGCCCCACATCAGGCTCTGTGCTCAGCCGGGAGTCTGCTTCTCTCCCTCTCCCTCCGCCCCGCCTCCTGCTCACATGCTCGCTCGTTCTCTCTCTTTCTCTCCAAAATAAATACATAAATCTTAAAACAAAACAAAACAAAACCAAAAAAATGGCCATTTGGCCCCAAGAGCACATGCTGGTGTTTCTTTCCCCAACAAAGTGGCACTTGAGGGGTGCTTGAAGGACCAGTAGGGTGACTTCAGACATGTCCCAGAAAGGACATTCAAGGCTCTCCCGCAGCGGCTTCCACTCTTTCCAGCCTCACCTCTGGAGCGGGAGATGGATGTTCCCATCATCTTAATACGGAAACTTAGCTTTAGTGTTTCTTACCTTTCTCGTCACACTGGAAGGATGAAATGCCAATATGTTTTTCACTTCCTAGGAAGATCTGAAGATTAAAGTCTCCGTGCCCTTGGGGAAAGCAGAATGATCTCTTTGGTACCTGGTGTTCTAGGCTTTACCAAAGTTATCGTGAAAGAGCGAGCAGCATGGTGAGGTTTGGAAGAAGGGGCTGCCTGTTCACAGAAGCAGAACTTCCTTAAGAGGATGGGGAGGAGGGAGGACTGTGGGGCCAGAGGAAGTGAGCAGTCAGTCCCTGTCCCTGGTGGGGGCCTGGGGCAGATGACCCCAGTGGGGGGAGGCAGTGCACTCTGCAAGGATGGGTCTCTGGGACCCGATCCCCAGTAAGCCCCAAATTCTCAGGGCCCAGGCATGCCTCAGAAATGACAGTCACGTGCTGTCAAGGAGCCTGCAGAAACAGGGAGAAGAGACCTCTCCAGAGTGACATGTGTGACTGAATGACCAACAAAGGATGCCTTGGCACTAGAGACAGCCCCAGGGTAGGGCGGTCAGGGGGGCCCCAAGAGAAATAAGATTGGCTTTCCCTGTCAGCTCAACAAGGTTGAGGTGATTTCTAGAGAGGTTTTAGAGAATGAGAGACTAAGGAACTGGGATCCTTCTGGCACCCCTGGCTGTGTGAACTGAGATTTGTGCTTAACCTAGTCCTTTCTGTCAGAACCTTCGGCTCCAGCCAGCCTGGTCTGGGCTTTCTGTCCAGATGGGGGTTCGTTCCATGTCCCCTCCTCCATTACTTCTAAGGATCACTCAAGGGGCAGCACCCCCTCACTCCCTGCAACCCCCAAAGGCCTCTCCCTCCCTCCTCTGAAGCTTGAAGCTCATGGTGTCACCAATTTGACAGATGCACATGGAGAGTGCTCTGTTCTGCTGGGACTGGGCTCCCCAACTTGGCCAAGAGCTTCATGAAGGGAGAGACATGACCCTTTCTCCTAATCCTGGGCTGATCACCGGAGCCCCTGCCCGGTCGAGAGACCCACAGGGCCCGGGGCTTGGCCCTTTCAGCAGAGGTTCCCATCCCTTGTCAGCCTCTCTTCACCTCATCATGCTGGCTCACTTGCTTCTGCGCATGCCAGCACCCGGTCTGTAAGACCCAGGCCTGCCTCTGGGGGAGCCTGCTACCCAACCAGCAAGTGGGTGTTGTGGTGGTCCTCCTAGGACAAGCCTTGCCTACCCTTTTCCTCCTCTGCCTGCCATAGATGGGCAGATTTTGCTGGAGCCTGACGTTGACAAATGGACCCGTTTTGTGTTAAGAGCCTCTGAGCTCTGTGTGCACCAGGACCCCAGCAGATGTAAACACTGGCAGCCTCTCTTCCCCGGCTAAATAAACTAACTGCAGGCTTCCAGAACAAGCCACCGCCCCAGCACACACTCATGGTGTTTTAAAAAAATGTCAGCTCGCTCCAGCCCATCCTCTTGGCACAGGCCAGTTCTCCCTCTCCCAGTTGAATGTCTCAGACTTTGGGCCACTGATGTGCAGGCCAGGGAGCAATGGGGACAGAGATCATCTCCTAAAGGGGCCAGCCTGGGCCCCACTGCCTTATGGACAAAGGGTAGCTATGCATGAGGAGCAAATCCTATGCAGACCTTGATGTCCTCCCAAAGCCCTGCCTGAGCTCCGAAGACATGTTTTCTTCTTTTAAAGTTTAGATCCTATGAAAATAAGAATGTTACTCCCTTCGCCCCTGACACAAGGATATTTTAAACTTTTTTTTGGGTATTCGTTATTCATTAATTCGCCTGACATTTATGGGGCAGCCGCTCGGTGCGCTGCCCCACCCACTCCAAGTTGCCTCAAAGCCCACATGAGTGCTCATCCCATTACTTTAAAGTTTTCATGCCTATGTCTGTATATGCTAGAGATAGATGCTAGAGATAGAAGATTGGCTAGGTACCCAACCTGCGCCATCAGTTCCGCCCATCGGCCAGAACCCATGGGCAGCCTTCCCCCCCACACGTCCTTCCCATGCACAAACCTCCACGAGCAAACTGGGGGCTTCGTGTGTCCAGAGGAGCCAAAGGACCTTAGAGTTCTTTTCCTATTCTAACAAAGCCTAGCCTTCAAGACGCTTGTCTAGCGATGGACTCGGCAGGCCAGCTCGGGGCTGCAGGCACACAGGTGCAAAGAGCTGCAAGAGCCCCTGAGCTGGGGGAAATGAAAACCCTTAGATATAATAGCTTCAAAATCGAATCCCCATCCATATCCATGGAAGGTGGCAGGCTGTCACCGGAGGAGGACCAGGTGCTAGTTGGGGCTTCTGTAACTGGTGACGTGCTCTCAGGGCCCCAGCCCGGCACTGTGCTTTCCCCTGAGGCGCAGCAAGTTCTGGCTGCCCAGGAGCAAAAGGCAGAACAGCCAAGGGACAAATGAGGCAGAAACAAGCCCCCAGACTGAGTGGGTACATCTGCCATAGCCGGAGAGATCCAGGGCAGAGGCCGGTCCGCAAGGGGACAGACGTCCGGAGGGTGGTGGCCGGCTCCAGAGAGGGAACAGGCCTCTGCCCCCTGGCCTGGCTGGGGCTGGAGCCACTTGTGCCGGGAGCCGAGGCTGGGAGGGCCCCGCAGCGCACGTGCCCACGCGAGGACTAGGGGCCCGGCAAGCACCCGCCTCAAGGGGCAAGACTGGATCCCCCCCGAGACCACGCATGCGTGGTGTAGCAGCATCGTGGGGGCACCCCTGCTGGTGACTGAGAGCCCCCCTCTGCTGTCACGGGGGGCCACCCTGCCCTGCTGCGACTGCCTCCCCAGGGACTGCGCCCCCACAGTTGTGCATAGCTGCGCCAGGGCGTGTGTGCTTGCACACAGCAGCCACACATGGGGGCTCAGAAACGGCATCACGCGGCAGCTTCCCAGGGTAACCCCCCCCGCAATGCACACAGGTACAGAGTGGGTGACCAAGAGCAGGTGCCTACGGACAAACCCAGAGCAGCCCCTCAGGCCTTTCTGGGGTTCACAGAAGAGGCAGCGAGCCCCATCCTTGTCCTGAGAGACTGAGATCCCTGGAGAAGCAGCAGCATCACCAGAGAACTCGCCAGAAGCGCTTTGAGTTCTGTCTTCTCCCTCTTGCTGAGCCCTGAGCCGTCTCATCTGGGGTGCAGGGGGCGCCCTCTGGGGCTACAACTCCCTGTCGTGCTTTTTCCGTGCCAGCCCCCATGCTAACTAGACTCTGTGTGCATTGTCTCATTTAAAACTCACAGGCACACCATGAGATGTGCACCTGATGTGTTCTATCTTTGTTCAGATGACAAAGCCAAAGTGCAGTAACCTTAAGAGGCTTGCCTGGAGTCACCCAGGCAGTCGCGAACCCAGCCCGGCTCCCAAGCATGTGCTCCTGATCACTTTCTAGATGTAGCCCCCAGCCCGCACTGGCCGAGTGTAAACACCACCCCCACACCCCAGGACTCTGCCCCATGCCAGCCCCCCTCCCCCCCACCTCCTTTTTCCCCTGGGTCTCTCCTGCCCTGGCACCCAGTCCGAAATCTTTTCTCGAGAAAGGCAAGGCTGGGCCATCCAAGCAGGGGGTGGGACGAGGGGCGGGAGATAGAGCTGAACCTCGTGAGCAAGCAGCACTTCTGCCAAGGCCCTCACCACCCCGCCTGGGGGAGCGGCAGGGAAGGCCGTGGCTCCGAGGGCTGGCAGTTGGCGGAATGGTGAGCCTGTCCCAGACCACAGCCCAGCCTGCACCCCAAAGCCTGGAGCGAAGCCCACTGGGCCGTTGACCCGTGGAATCCAAAGGCTGCTGCTGTGGGTTCATCTGATCCAGAACGTTTCCGGAATGGAGGGAGGCACCTGGGTTTGAATCCTGGCTTGTCACCCACTTACTGAGTGACCTAGGCTGGGCACATCCCCTCTTGGAATCTGTTCTTCATTTCTGCAGGAAAGTGGTTGACTGATGATTGGCAAGGATGTTTCCTGCTCTGAAACTGTGTCTTGGATTCTAGATTTCCCTGGGACGTTTGAGAAGTCTGGCCAGGACGTAGGAATCTGAAGGGCAAACGGCTCTGGACCCAGCGCTCTGCACAGCCCACCTCATCTTCACTTGAGACTTGGGAGTGACCCCCTGTCTCCCCTGAGTGCCTGGTTTTGCACCTACTCCTCTGTGCCCCACATACTCCCGCACCCAGGAGGATTTCTCTTCTATAGCACATCCGGGCAGGGCACCAGGGCTCCGGAGGAGTGAGGAGTCAGGCCAGGTGTCCCAGACCTGGAGGCGGCCATGGGGGCCCGTGCTGTTGTGACCGACGCCAACATCTCATCCAGCCTTGAGAGCAACACCACGGGCATTACGGCCTTCTCCATGTCCGGCTGGCTGCTGGCCCTGTGGGCCGTCGCCTACCTGGCCCTGGTGTTGGTGGCCGTGACGGGCAATGCCACGGTCATCTGGATCATCCTGGCCCATCAGAGAATGCGCACAGTCACCAACTACTTCATTGTCAACTTGGCCCTGGCTGACCTCTGCATGGCCGCCTTCAACACCGCCTTCAATTTCGTCTACGCCAGCCACAACATCTGGTACTTCGGCCGTGCCTTCTGCTACTTCCAGAACCTCTTCCCCATCACGGCCATGTTCGTCAGCATCTACTCCATGACTGCCATCGCCATTGACAGGCAAGAGGGGGTTCATGGGGAGCCGGGGGAAACAGCTTCACTGTGTTGGGGCTCAGACAGGGCTGGCGATGTGCCTGCGATCATACAGCAAGTTAAGGGCAGATCTCAGGGAACTGCCTCCCGGCCGGATTGTGATCCAAAAGTCGGCCTCTGGAAGACCGGGGGGCTGTGGAACCAAAGCAGGCCAAGTTAAGGTTACACACGAGGAGAACTTGGCACTAGGCGGTTGTTCTAAGGCTGGAGGGAGAGAATGGCTGTGTTTGGAGACCTTCTGGAATGTTCTTCTCTGGAGTTGATCTTTTTTTCTTTTCTTCTTTTCTTTCTTTTATTACAAAGAAATTGCTTCTCTTGTTTTCCTATTCCTAGATAGATGATATGGGGGGGAGGAATTTAATACTGCGTGCAGTTACCCTATAATTATAATGGGTTCAATTGTCTTCCCAACGCTGTTCTCAGGGCGCTGAGGGATCAGTGTGGAGCCATCTGCCATCCTTTTGAAGCTGGTTAGGGCAGACAGGGCACAGTTTGGACTCAGAAGGGGACTGTGTGACCCTGGGGGAGTCTGGTTGAGACAGACAGCAAACGAAAAGGGACACAGAAAGACATCAGGTGCGTGTGGGAGATGGAACAGGCCTGGGACCCTCAGAGACACAGACCCCTTGTCAGGATGGTTTGAGGCGGCACGAGCCCCACTGTCCCCCTCCCCCCCAGTCTCCAACCCCACTCAATTGCCCAACAACACCTAGCAGCTGGCTTCTCTGCTCTGGGCTATAGTTCTATGGAGTTTTCCTGAAGATTTCATTTGAGAACTGTATTTCTACTGGTTAAAAATGAAAAGTTCGAAAACCATTTGTCTAGGCGACGCTTCTGATTTCATACCTGGGGCAACTGAGGCTCGAGACAAGCAGGATTACTAGCAAGTCAGGGGCAGGGCCAGGGGCCCAGAACCCAGACCTCTCTGCTCGCGGTAAGGGGCAGGCCCCTCATCATCCAACCACACCACCTCCCCCCACCAAAAGCACCTCAGTCCCCCTGGAGGTTTCTGCTGGTCCACCAACATTTCCTTTTCATTCACTCAACAAATATTCGAATGTTCCCTCTGTTTCAAGCACTGGGGAATATATACCAGAGGGAACAATAGTCCTTGAAATCAGGCCTCATGGAACTTCCATTTTAAAGGGGTGGGGGTGGGGGGCATGCGGACTTGAGAGGACAGGGTGGGAGCCAGGGGACCCGGCGGGAGGCTGCCGAGTGACAGTCCAGGTGAGCGGATGGCGCTCAGAGATCGAGGTGGCAATAGTGAGAACTCATCCAGTCGTTTCTTCGTTCCGACGTTCCATGCCCCCTGTGTCCAGACGCTGTTCCGGGCGTGGGGGTGAAAAACAGATAAGGACGCTTGCCCTGGTGAGAATTTAAATAATAAACACATGAAGAAATGGCACACTGTATTTTGAGGTCATGAGCGCTGTGGGAGGATAACAGAGAGGGGCAAGGGGCCAGGCAGGGTGTAGGGCTAGACGGGGAGTGGGATCGGCCCTTCTGCTGGGCGGGTTTGCAGCAAAGATGGAAGGGGGAGGGGAGAGAGAGAGTGGACCCCATCAGCCCCGGGGAAGAACGTTCCAGGGAGCAGGCCCCGAGGCAGCAAAAGCCCATGGCAGGATCGTGCCTGGTGTGTGTGAAGAGCCCCCAGGCGGGCGGTCCTCACAGAGACACTGTGGAAAAACTCAGGGCGCACAGAGTCAGCAACCCCTTGTGCCCCAAACACCAAGATGTGAACTCCCCTGTGCAGGGCAAGGACATCCTGTTGTCCTGGCCTTGTCTCAAGGTTCGGATCAATCCCAGAGAGGAAGGCCCAGGGGTCACCCAGGACCAAAGCCACTTCTGGTGGATTTAAAGGAAATAAATACATGGGACTAACCGTGTTTCAAATCCTAATCCCCCACAGCCTGCAGGCACTTCTCAAGCATCTCACTGCCTTAGCATGCCAACCATAGGGGCACAAATGACTGTCGGCCCACTTTACAGAAGAGGAAAGAGAAGCTCAAGGGGCTTAGGTTGTTTGCTCAAGACTCTACTGTTGGAATGTAGCGAAGTCAGGATTCAAATTTAAATGTTTTTCTTTAAAGATTTTATTTACTTATTTGACAGAGAGAGGGAACACAAGCAGGGGGAGTGGGAGAGGGAGAAGCAGGGTCCCCGCTGAGCAGGGAGCCCGATGCGGGGCTCGATCCCAGGACCCTGGGATCATGACCTGAGCCGAAGGCAGACGCTTAACGGCTGAGCCACCCAGGTGCCCCAGGATTCAAATTCAGATCAGTATGAATCCAAAGTCCCAGACCTGCCCCTCCGCTAATGGGGTAAGAAGGAAAACTCTGCTCTTTCCCACCCCACCTCCTAGAACAACAAGGGAGTCCAAGCCCCCACGTTGACCCGCTAGTCATCTGCCTCATCTGTGGGGAGGGGGCCACTGAAGAAAGTGGCCTTTCCTCTTGTCCTGCTGAGACCCTCAGCCGGGGCCCAGGCTGCCGAGGGGTAGAGCTGGCCCAGGGCCCAGCCTCAGTAATGGGGGAAGGTCAGCGTCCTGGGGAGAAGAGGGAGGGGGTCAACAATCATCTAGCCCAGACTCACGTTACCTGTGACCACAAACTGTGCCCAGAAATCCCAGGGGTCATGAGCTTCTGTGAGGGTGAAAAATCACAATTACACATGGAGACAGCACACCACATTTTGCTGGGACTCCAGCAGTGCCCTGGATGATGTCACCAATAGAAACCACAGGTACCTCTGCTATGCAGAAATTTCCGAGTATCGTCGACACCCATCACTACTTAAAAATTACCGTGGGTTCCAGACCTGCTTCTAGATCTTATTAGCAGGTTGATAAATAAGTGTGTGTATTGCTATGCCCCAAATCAATATATATATATAAAGATTTTAATTATTTGAAAGAGAGCGGGAGGGAGAGGGAGAGAGAATCTGAAGCTGACTCCGCGCTGAGCGCAGAGCCCCACACAAGCCTCGATCTCACGGCCCTGAGATCATGACCTGAGCCGAACCCAAGAGTCAGACACTTAACCTCCTGAGCCACCCAGGGGACCTTATTTCATATTTTGGTAACTGTATTTCAGCATAACTGGTTGTCTTTCTAATCTTGCGTAATTTATTCCTGTAAAAACCATATTCTGAGGAGGGCCCAGGGGCTTCGCCAGATGGCCAGCAACAGGCCCATGACCCAGAGAGAGCCCCCAGTCTAGTCCCAGACCCTCCCTCTTCCAAGGCGGCAACCAAAGCCCCGAGTCGTACAGCACAGTAGAAGCCATATGGGGGCCGAGGAGGGGGCCTCTGTTGTTGGTGGATGGAGCTCTTTGGATCCTTTCACCTTGGAAGGAGGCGGCTACCCCCAGCTCTCCGTCCCCGGTCAGTCGGGGCCCTGACCCATGAGGCCTCAGCCCCACCAGGCTGCAGAACACTCCCACAGTGGCTTTCGGGCGTCCTGGGGGCAGAGGGAGCTACACAATGTTGTTCAGAGCTTGTGCTGCCTCTCCCAAGCCTCAGTCTGCTGGTGCAGGAAATGGAGAGACCAACCCTTGCCTGGGATACTCGGCCACCAGGCACCAGGGGTGCCAAAGAGCAGCCCAAATCCCCGCAGTTTCCCCGGAGAGAGGCGGGAGCTGAGGAGACAAGCTGCTTCTGGCCGACTTCTTGGAAGAGGTGGCCTTTCACTTGGACTTTAACGAATCCAGAATGGAGGGAGAAATTCCAGGCTGAGGGGAAAGAAATGCCCCCACAGAGGGTCCCACAGGCAGGGCTGTTCCTTGACCAGAGAGAGCCAGGGACGGTGCGGGAAGCAGTGACACAGGGGGCTGGAAAGTGCGTTGGCCATGTGCAGAGGGCCTTGAATGCTGCGTTTAAAGGTTTGGACCTGCTCTGTCTGATAATGTAACTAGAGCCGTATGTGCCTATTTACATTTAAATTAATTAAAATTGAAAATCCAGTTCCTCAGTCATATTAGCCATGCTTCCAGTGTTCATAGCCCTGTGTGGTTAGTGGCTCCTGGACAGGACAGGGCATATAGAAAGCGTTTCCACTACTGCAGAAAGCCGGGGGGCAGTGCTGGTTTGGGCTTTGTCCGGGAGACTGTCAGGTTCTGCTAAGGTCTCTAAGCAGAAGAGGGGCCCGCAGAGGGCCAAGGGGCTCGGCTGGGCTGAGCTTCAGGCAGATGTCCTGAGTGGACTTCCAGTGTGGCCACACCACTCTCTCGTGTCAGACGGAGGCGGTGAGGTGGGGCCTGCGCTGGGGTTTCGGGCGCTAGAGTGCTGTGTGGCCGTGGGAGAGTCACCAACCCAGGTGGCTCTCTGCAGGTCCCCAGCAGCGGTGGAGGGGTGTGGGGGGGCGGAATGAGGCTACAGGGTGGGGGAGAAGGGGATGGGGGTTGCTCTGATGGGAGGGTGCCACCGCTCACACAGCCCTCTGCTCACAGGTACGTGGCCATCGTCCACCCCTTCCAGCCGCGGCTCTCGGGCCCCCACACCAGAGCGGTGATTGTCGGCATCTGGCTGCTGGCCCTGGCCCTCGCCTTCCCCCAGTGCTTCTACTCCACCGTCACCACGGACCAGGGCGCCACCAAGTGTGTGGTGGTCTGGCCTGAGGGCAACGGCAGCAAGATGCTCCTTTTGTAAGGCCTGTGGGGTGCGGAGCATGAGTGTGTGCGCACACGCGTGTGTGCAGGTGCACACACCTGAGAATGTCCATGCTTGTGCGTATGCACATGGGTGTGCACGTGCATCTGTGAGGGTGTTTGGGATTATGTGAGTCCATGTATATACCAAGGGACACTTAGCACTTCCAAAGAGTCAGGCTTTACACACATGAAGCTATTCAATTCTCCTAACGCTACGGGGCATGCAAGTCTTCTTATTCCCATTTTCAGATAAGGAGACCAAAGACTAGGAACTAAGTAATACGCCCAAGGTCCCACAGCTGGTAGGTTACGGTAACGCCAGGGCTTAAATCTGGGCAGTGCCGCTTCAGAGCCCCCCACTTCCGCGCCACCCCAGGACTCAGATAAGGACAGATATGTCCTTAGATGAGGATATGCATACGGCGCTACTGTGCAGCCAGGCTGCCCCCATTTATGTCTACGTGCGTGTGTGTGTGTGTGTGTGTGTGTGTGTGTGAGAGTCCGGGCCATGTTCATGGAAGTGTGTGTGCACACAGGTGTGTGGAAATGTGTGTGTGGGGGGGTGTTTGGGGGAGGGCACTGTACATGCTCCTGCCACAGAGGGTCAGGGTATTGAGGCGGAAAGAAAGGGCAGGTGGCAGAGCCTAGGATGTTTTGCCTGCCTCAAGCTGAGTGGGGGCCGTGGGCCGGGGAACCAGGTAGAAGAACTCAGACATGGGCCAGCCATTGTGCGACCCTGGGTAAGTCCTTTTCCTTTCCGGGCCTCGGTTTGCTACGTGCTGGCTTGCGGATCCTCATGCGCGGCTTGGTCGTTTAGCAGAGGGTAAAGAATTGGTTAAGGTTTGGGAGGCAGCAGTTGGGAGGGAGTCCTGCTCAGGGTGGGGATTAGTTAGAGCACTTGGCGGGGCGGGGACGGGGCGGGTGTTGCTGTGAGCATGTGTGAGACCCGTCTGTGAGCCGTTAGCGCCGCGCCTGGCCCAGAACGGGCACCCATATGCGGTAGTTTAAGCCGCAAATGAGAGCAAACCTGGAGGGGCCGATTTCGTCCCACAGAGGCCCAGCTGCCCGAGGCCGGAGGAGGTGCC